ATATATATATATATATATATATATATATATATATATATATACTGCTGTAGATAGACCGGGCCGGACTGAATTAACAAGCCAACTCGCCGAAACACCGCATGAACATACATTCACATACGTTATTCTACATTCCGCGGCACCGTATTTATTATCAATGTAAATAACGCACGGCATCGAGCGACTGAGTCGGAGTGCTTTCGCAAGGCGAGGAAAGAGAGCAGTTGTAATTTTCGTCTTTGTAAACGGCGGCCGCGCGCGAGCTCTCGACATTCTTAAGCTTCTCGCATGTAAATCCCCTGTGAAATGGTTGCAGTAGTGCGTACGTGGTAAGTAAGTCTCCCATCTACCATCTCACTCTCTGTGACCCCCATCAATCTCCCGACGTCTATACACTACGGAAGTACTTACAGCGGGTTCACACGCCCGCGTGGGTCGTTATAGTGAATTCATTCATTAGCGTCCAGTTGCCTTTAGATCTGTGTAGGGAAGACGTTTGGGTGATATAAAGTGATCGACGCGGTTATAATTATGTCTCCATATGTATCTGACATGTCAATGTGTCATCTGAGATGTTTTATATCGATGATGATGACGACAACAATGATGATATGCTGCTGCTGCCGCCGCCGCCGCTGCTGCTGCTGCTGCTGCTGCTGATGATGATAATAATGGTTGTGGTGGTGGTGGCGGCGGTGGTGTTGATGATGATGATCACTTCTAGGGCCGTTCAACTCAGCAATGTGCATTAGCGTCGCTAATAACCGAACAGTTAAAACTCTAGTCAGCATTAAGCTAAATTATTGCGCTGATGACGGAATGCCCTATAGACTATAGTGCTGCTGCACGCACTTATTACTAACTGTTATATATCATTAGCGTGTACGCGTGTGCGTGCGTGCGTGCGCATGCGTCGTGCGTATGCGTGTGCGTGCGTGTGCGTGCGTGCGTAATTGCGTATGCGTGCGTATGCGTGTGCGTGTGCGTGACGTACGATAGTGATGACTAATGCTGATGATACCGGTCGAAGTCTTGTCGAGAATTGCATGCACGCGTTCGGCTTATCACAAACGCAAACGTAGTCACATATCAAAACTTAGCGAAGAATAGACAGAGATGCAATCTGACACGTATCGTTCACCCAGACGATTTAAGCCGGTGGGAAATATATAGCTTGCACATTGGATTCCGACTCAGCAGGGGCGATAGACTACCACAGCAGGCAAACGCGCCACAACAAAGACATAATTTTTTTTCAGAAATTGAAGGGTGCAGTAATAAAAACCCTGTAATTTTTATTCACCGGTTTAGCTCTCGGGGGGTCGAAGGTATCCATAGCTGTGGAATGTAAATGATCTAGTGGATGTTTCGATATTGGGTATAGGGGTTCGTAGCAACGGCTGGATTCCTCACCCGCTGAAATAAGGTTACATGGAAACCAGCGCAGGGTATTTTCAGTAAGTATTGAGATTTTTATTGCTTAACTGGTTTGGAACCAACTCATCGATCGCTGCGAAATCTAAATGTCTCATAAGCCTATTGATGAAGCAATTAAGAAGACTGGTAAGTTGCAAAAATTATAAGGCGAAAAGCAAATAAAGACGACGCAATTTTCGCTCACGTTCAACCAGCAGGCAAACTGCATGCAGTGTCCCTTCCACACTCAGGATAGTATTGTATTGACACAGAGTCGAGAGCGCCCATCTGCGTGGAGTTGCCAGCAGGGTTGACGTTCGGGTAGTCTCAATGGCGCCACCTCTCGGACCAAATTATGAAATTTTACGCAACAGAAAGCATTTCCTACTGCTAGCCTCAGCTGCTAGCTAGCGTGGCTGTGATCTGAGAATAATGTATACATATCATCAGGAGTAAGATAATATAGAAGATTCTATATTATCTTACTCCTGATATCATCTTGATAATATAATATTATCAGGAGTAAATAATAATAGATTCTATAGATATATTAGATAGATTCCATAGATCTATTAATAGATTCCATAGATCTATTAATAGATTCCATAGATCTATTTATTATTATTCACAATATATAGTCACGCACCATATTTGATAAAAGACATAAGAGCTCTTGATAAACTTGCAGAAGCGAGCCGACTAAACTATGGAGGGTTGGGTCAGCGTTATTGCATACCAGCAAAGACTTTCAAAGCTGCAATCTACCCAGGCGATTCATATCGTATTTGCCCGTATTGGGAAAGTACGTCTAATTACAAAGTGCCCTCGAAACTTTGTGCGTCTGGGGTACAAAATACAGAACAACAATTTAGCATGAAGCTATATTCTTTATTTTTTCTCTTTTCTTCCTGATTCATTGACAGGACTGAAAGAAATCAAAATTTTACATTAACAAAACTTAGCTTTTGATATCTGAAAAATCAAGGAAGGCTTGATCATTTGGCATTAATGCTGTATGCAAAAGCGCAGCCAAAATGAAGCAGAGATAAAATTCCATATGTTTTTAGCTATGCTGCCTTGACTAAATTGTGCTTCAAATGGTGCTGCATTTTTGTGCCAAGACCCTGAAATATTGCAAAATTTTCTGGGGAGACTCCCCAGATCCCCCGCCATGTCCTTCCTCGCTTAACGGCGCCCACTGTGGGGTGGTGTGCCCTTTTTGGGGGATGTGCCCTTAAAATCTGGAAAAATACTGTCTAGCTTCAGCCCCGGATCCGCCCCTGTACTCTAGAGACGCGTAGAGAGAGCTGATCTTATCGAGACCTACAATATTATGACAGGCTTGGAGAACATTGATCATATCACATTTTTTTCACCCGCAATCCTGTCCACCACCAGAGGTCACAGCCTGAAACTGTACAAAGAGCGCAGTCGTCTTGAACTACGTAAAAATGTTTTCTCTCAGAGAGTGATTGACAGCTGGAACAGCCTTCCCCAAAATGTTATTGCGGCAAAGGACGTGCTCTCATTTAAAATCTAATTAGGCCGCTATTGGACAGTTCAGGGTTTTATATAAGCGCAAGCTGCCTAACCCTTGATAGCCATGCAAACACTTGATGTGTTTTACAGTAAATACAGTAAATACTCCTGATATTATAATATTGTTCTCAGGCTGCGATGGATGATTATCATCAACTACATGTCGAGCTTCCTTGATGAATCTAGCTGAAGCACCAATGATGAAGTTATAATTAAAGGATCATATCTGATGCGTCTTTGGATTTATATACAAACACAATACAAATGTGTTTGTATATATCTATGGTCAAAGGGACTATACGTATACCGAAAAAGATATGAAATTGATGAAACCGATAACAAATTAAACATTTCAGTTATAGTTTTCACAATTTTATTATAGGTCCATTGGCTGTATGGGAATTAATATCAATTAAGTTCTAACCCTAGCATAAGCAAAGACCGTTTCTTGGAGCTAGCCATTACTCAGTTATTCTACATTTACTGACACTGTTATAGTTTAATAAGAGCTCCAATGCGATCGACCTATTGCAGACGCCCAACTTTATTATAATTTGACTTAGTTAATCGAGTTTCATTGATGTAGACACAAAATAACATTATTTAATGACTAAACTTAACTATGCAAATGCAGAAATCGTTCTTGGGAAGATATGGAGGCCATGAAAACGGCCAGTGTTATTGATGCCAATGATGGTGTTGGTGACAGTAGTCTTTGGTCTTGTAGAATGTAGAATTTACTT